CTGCGCTTAAAATTTCCCAAATGATGCAATCTTAAACCGAGTTTGAACGCCAGTCGGATGTTAGGTGCAGCCCACTCGGCGGAGCAGACGAAGGGCGGGGTGAAAGGGGGAGATCATTTTTCCCCTTTCTGCTCTTCCTGGTGGAACAGTCCATAGTTGGACTGCATAAAATAGCCCTAGAATGTTTTTTTTTTTCGTTTTGTGCTGTTGCGTGCTAATAAACAACTCTGGTAAACCAGAGTTGAGCACCTGTATAATTATGTTTTTCACCGACTTTGATACAAATTACGCAATGCGGAAGTATCTTCAAAAGTAATTGAATTACATTTTTAACGATTCGTACTCTACTGAAGATGCTTTGCAATAAAAGTAACTTGAGTAGTATTTTAAATACTTTATGAAGCAGATATTTAGAAACTTAAAGGGACTATGAAGGCAATTTAATTTTTTTTTAAAAAAGAAGGTGTTTTCGGAAGCATTGGGGTCCTGGCATGCCACACAATTTGTTTCTAGAACGTTGTGACTCTTATTTTTGTACCTGCAAATAAATTTGCGAAACCGAAACAAACATTCAGATTTCTTCCCTTTTTCGCCTCTGGAAAGAGAAGTGACGTCAGGGAGCACTGTCGGCATCGGTAGGATTTAGTGCACACTCAGTGTGGTTCCATGGTTCGCTCTAGTACACGGCGGTTTGTGAAGAAAACCTGGAAGAAATGGACGACAACGCCGCGCTCGCAAACGAGTTTGAGCTCCCGTTCAGCGACCTCACGCCGACTGAACGGGAGATGCTGCAAAGGACGGAGAACTCTGGATTGGCGACCGATGCAGCAATGCTGTGCATTGCTGCATCGGTCGGCAGTTTATGCAAACTAACGTCGCCCGAGCGACCGCACGTTTTTAGCTGACCTTTCGCGCAACCTACTACTGCACATAAACGCGGCATGATTGGTGAGACACCAGTTCGCAAAGCGAACACGAGACGACGCACGAAACCAAAACCAAAAGTCCGCCGCCCCCGGCGCTCGTACCTCTTTTTCTTTTTTTTTTGTCCATGGTTGCTCGATGCTTGTTACGCGCCCCAGGTAGCAGTGCGGGATGCGTTCAACCAGTGACAAACGGAGGGACCGCTTCAGATTATGCTTTTATACACGGTATGACACCTATTAATTCCCAACTACAACTTCAAAATATTATCCAACGTTCAAATAAACTTTTTTCATCACATCTCACCACCGAAATCGAAACCAAGAGCGCGTCTATCGTTTGAACCAATCGCCAGACGAGGAGCCCGTTGTCGTCATTATTACCGCGCCTGTTTGCTCGATTGGCGCGGCACCCAAACTTCTGTTCGGGCTAGAACTTGGTCAACAGTATCTGAGACGTGCCTGACATCCATTTCAACCGTCGAATAAAACTTCGAAACTGCCTTCATGGTCCCTTTAACTTAAATACTTTTATCGAGTATTTTGTCCAACACTGGTCAGTACCCAGACCGAATGGTTGTTCCTAAACACCCAATAAAACTGATTTATTTATTTAATATTATTAATATTATTTTTAATACACAGGCGCGACCTATCGTGTAGCCAACACTTGGCGGTACCGTATATTTCCTCCTTTTCGCTCATAATATTTTTTTCTTGGCTTGAAAAGCTTTTATCAAAGTTATAAACTACATTTTCTGATAAACCGCAAATGCATTTGACTTCGCAAATACCGCAAAACATTCGCTCTAGTAAAATGCGGTTGCAGGGTCACCACATAGGTGGCGCCAGCGTGCCAGTGTGTTCTCCAGCGTTTTCCAGAGACCCTGGATTGTAGGGAGCGTGCAACTGAAACCCCAAGGAGCGTTTGCAATTTAATGGCGGACACCTGCTGCGGAGATTGAGTGTAAGTGCGCATGCGCAGCGTTGTCGCGAGGTGAGGAGGAAAGCAGGTAAAAAGGCGGAAGCATTTGCAGACGATTACCCCTTTTGCCACTTCCAGGCACCTCGTGTGGAAAACACGGACCATAAACCACATGGACCGATCAGTTGGAAACTCTGGATAACAGGCTCTCTAATGTTTTTTCATCGTAAGAGATTTTCAAAGGTGCTAAGGCGCTCGGTTCTAAGAAGTCATATATGTGTGACGGGGCCCTTACACAACGATCATGCTGTAAGAATGGAGAGAACAGCTTCAAGTTAATCGGCTAGAAGGTACGATGTTCACCAAGTATGGTGGAATGAACTGAGTGGCGCGACGACGATTTCTGACTAAGTAATCAAAGCCAAAATGCACAAGTGCGACACAGTACCTTGGTTTCAGCGCTTCCAGAACAAATGAAACTCGCATTCGCTTTATTGTAGAAATAATCAACTCGTATAGCGTATACATAAAAAAAAGTGTTTCCCCTGTATTACTAACAGGGCTGAGCAGATATACACCATAAAGTATTTTGGAATAGAAATACCGAAATGCACATACTTTAAAGGGAAACTGAAGCGGTTCTGTATTTGAGGAAGAACACTTAAATCGTCTACATTTGGCCTCCAGGATCACGAATATCGAGATTATTTTTCATTTGGTGCACGGAGGTGTCTCAAAGTACCGCTGAAGCCCCTCGTTTCAGGAGCTTGACGTCATATCGGGAGTTTTCGGAATCTCCGCTCTCGCGTATCTTCAGAGTCGATCAAAGCTGTGCACTCGCACTCTCGCTATCTTCAAAAAAAAAAAAAAATGTAACACGTCACGTCAGGACAAAATGTCAGTGCGGAGGAACACGAGCGACACGCGCTTTGCGGCCGAAAAATCCTGGTATGACGAAACAACCGTTTGGAGGTGTTTCGTGTTTTCTCGTGTTTAGTTACATCTTCAGAGACAACAAATGTGATTTTCAAATTCATGGGATTAAAGTACTCTAGAATTCGTCTCTAGGTCTTATCTTTTTTTCAAGAACCTTTTCGGCTCTTTTTTTTAAGGCCAAAAAGCTGATAGTCGTGTCTCCTTAATGTGGTCTTTGTTGATATGAATACCCGATCATACGGACACAGTTTTCGGGTACAAACTGGGAGCCTTGCATTCTTGTCTCATTATTACGGCCAACTCACATTATGGACGATTTTATTTTTTTGAGGGGGGAAGGGGGAGGACGGAGGTGTCCATATCAATGATACAACACTGTACTGAGATACATGTGCCTTTTATGTAACGGGACGTACCTGAGATCCTTTTGCGAAACCAGCAAAAAAAGTATTTCGGAATGCATAATTCTTCCATCAAGTATGAAACTACTTCTGTATAACACATTATTTGTATCTCATTTGGACTTTTATCATTTGGTATAGGGTACCACTACAAAAAAAAATACATAGAATATTCTCACTACAAAGGAGAGCGTTAAGACTCGTGTTTGACGTGCTTTACCTTTTTCACACGGACGAAATTTTTGAAAAAAAACTCGGGGTGCTAAAAATACATCAACAATACGAATACAGGGTTATCATGAAGTATGAACAAGAATATCCTGTGATAAACAGCTTCCTGCTAAGCTTGCCATCCCTTAGAAAAAGAACACTTACACATCCTTCTCGGCACTCAGATTTCTGGAGAGTTGATACATCGCGGACAGATTACGGCCTTCAGATAATTAGAAGAACACTTCCAACGTTACTAAACGCTTTCATAAATTCGAACGTTGATATGATATCTTCTAGCCCGCGTGAGTCACGTAACTATCTACTTTTTATATAAATATGTTGTTGTTTATCGTTTGTCTTGTTTTAAGGCAGAATTTTCTTGAGCATATTTTTGTCATTGTTGATTTCATGTGTCTTTGCATGACCTGTTAGTCATCTTTTTATGTTACCACAATAGCGTTCTGTGGTTGTTTCTGTTGATTTTGCTTACTTTTTTTATGCTTTGTATGCTTGACGGCTAGTGACCCGTCAAGCTGCTTTGTCAGATTTTTTCTCGAGCTCCTTTCATATGTGATATGGTGAATAAAGTAATTATTGTTATTAATAATTTATGCTTTTATGCTTGACGGCTAGTGACCCGTCAAGCTGCTTTGTCAGATTTTTTCTCGAGCTCCTTTCATATGTGATATGGTGAATAAAGTAATTATTGTTATTAATATTATTACATATACAGATGGATACAAAAGAGCATGTTTTTCCGAACAGAGGTGGGGGGTGAGGGGGCATTTCGCGGCAAATGCAAATGACCGTATTCCTGTTTTTGCCTCAGTTTATTCACTTCCACTTACCTCGAACCCTTTATCACTTCACAGCCATAAAATTACAAATTCAGCAAAAAAAAAAAAAAATCATTGTAGCCTTTAGTTTTTCGGTGAGACCAACGATTACTCGTCATGCATGACGAAAAGGCTAACATGAGTGATTCTTTCCTCCTCTCCACTCGCCTCCTCTACAGTGTTTGCTCTGCTAAAGCGGAGATAGCAGAGGGCCTTTCTAGGAGTAGATTATTCTGCTATTTCTTTTAAAGTGACCGCTCTTCGAACCACCCTTCTCTTTCTTGTTTTCTTTTAATATTTTTATGACTACAGTATACCAGGCAACCAAGCTTCCTTCATGTAGAGGAGGTCATGTGCCTGGTTCATATTACAAATTCTTATACTCCTTGAACCAAAACGATTTTTTTTATCGTATAAAACCGAGATTCAAGTTTTTACAACAAATGTAACCAAGTACCCAACCGTGGCAGATTATCGCAATACAAGCGATACATCGCAAATTTATTTCACTACTGAAATACAAATACATGTTTTAAGCTATCTAGATACAGAGATACAGATATTACAAAATAGTTCTAAGATACTATCCCGATACATTTGTATCGCGATACTACCTAGCCCTGCTATAATATGCAGATTCTTCAAGAAAACATAGTTTTCACGGGGTCTGAATTTAACCTCCAACTGAGACACCAGACGCCATCAAGGCAGCTTCCTGCTGTCTAATCATACACACTAGACAATTTTCCATGGAAAGTGCACGTACCTGTTCGTGAAAACCTAGCTCGTGACCACATGCGTTCGCATTGTTGACAACGTTGAAATGGGACAGTAGGGCTCCTTTGGGCTTTCCTGTTGTGCCCTGCCCAAGGACAACGTAAGAAACACAATTTATTATTATACCACATTAAATTAAATAAATATTGCGGGCGATTTAAGTTACGAAGAGATCGAAGGCAGGAGGATAAGCGGGACCTTTACTTTGGGATCCACAAAAAGAAACTTTTATTGGACTAAGTTTTCTGAGACAAGGGATACTGCACAATGCTGAACTTTAGTAAACCAAATGTTAAAACACACACACACACACACACACACACACACACGCGCACGCACGCACGCACGCACTCACACGCACACACACACACACATTGAGGGCAGAATTTAAACAAACTTTGGACCAGAACAAGACTTATAAGTACTAGAAATGGCTTCAACACGGAATGTGTACAATCGATCAAAACCCTTTGCAGCACGGCAATAAAAAAACAACAATGAAATAAGAAATAGTTGCCCTATTCATTATTTCCCCCCGATATGAATGAAGGTCATCCGAATGAAATTGTTAAACACCTTAAGACTGATAAATTCCATGTAAATATATTAAAACCGGTACTACTACAATTATAGAATCGTATATTTTCTAGTGGCAGTATTTCTAAGAACATCTATTGTTCGGCCCATATACAAAAAAGGCAAAACAAAAGCCTTAATTTTAGACCAGCATGCGTACTGTATGTGATAAATTATATAATAATAAAATACTTCGGAGCTATATCTCAAGATGTAATCCAATAACTCGCAAGCAATATGGATTCAGGGAGCAGATAGGAACCAGTGACTTGTTAGAATACTTTTTTGACTATGTAAATAAAAATATAGATAGTAGTAAATATGTTCTTGCTTTATTCATAAACTGTCGTAGGGCCTTCCAAAATATAAACCATAATATATTACCAGATAAATTACACAGTATTGATATTCGGGGAAAGATGCATGACTTATATCAGAATTATCTTAATGACCGGTATGAGATGGTACGACTAGGGCCAATATATAAAAGAAGCAGAGAGAACCTCAAGGTGCAGCACTCGGTCCACGACTTTTAATTTATACGTTAACGAGATAACCCAGCTTAAATAAAAAAAAAGATGTTAAATTTGCAGACGATATACAGTAATTGTATATTGTCTACAAAAATTACGAACTAGCTGTAAACACACAAAAATTACGAAGTAGCTGTAAACACACAAAAATTACGAAGTAGCTGTAAACACACAAAAATTACGAAGTAGCTGTAAAGATGATACAAGACATTTAAGAATTAACAGAATGGTACCGAAAATATCGTTGTGAACTTTCCTAAAACACAAGTAACATGCTTCCGATACCCGACGAAACAAATCCTGACTGAATTGCCAATACAAATGCTCTAGCAGAATTGCGATAATTGCTCATGCGTCCCGCTGAATTACGCTCATAATGTCAAATACCTAGGGATGCTTATAGACGAACATATTAAACAGTATTTTCATGTAGAACAAATTTGTAACAAATTAAGCGTATTAATGGCGCAGATGAAGCACATACAAGATCTGGTCCCTCGATCCATACTAAGAATGATATACAATTCACTGGGCAAGTCCACACTTCAATATGGAATGACAGTCTACAGAAACTGTGCAAAATATCTACAATTAAAAATAGAATCGATCCAAAAAGGATTGCCAAAAATATCGGTTAACCAAGTGAACAAACTGATCCGCAAAACTATATGGATAAAGAACTATACAACTTGCGTGTTAGAAACCAGATGGAGTATGATATTATAATAAAACATTTTTTCAACAACAAACATAAAGGGGAAAATGCCAAAGGAAGAACAGTAAGGCCGAATAGAAAATTTATTGAAGTTTTTTATGCTAAATATGGAGTGGCCACGTAATATTACCCCTAAAAAAGGCATCTAAAGCTGTTTGGAAACACAATAAAGCTGTGATTTATTGATTGACTGATTGATTATGTACCTAAGGTTTTTAATAAATTATCTTAAGAGTTTCTTTTACTAAAGATAAAATTAGAAAAACTCTGTCAGAAACGCAGATACTTTAACGGAGTAAAAAACACCGATAGAAAATTGGTTCGCTTCGTTAAGTTAAATTGTAGTTAACGACGTAACATAAGAAATGCCGAAATCTAACATATCTTATACATTACTGTTGTTAGTAAATTTGTTGAATTCTACACACAGTCAGGTGGGCAAGGTCCAAGCGGTTACAAAAGAATCCTCTTCCTCAACACCAACAACCTCACATCTTTTGTTACCACTTGGACCTTGTACACATGTGTGCGTGTGCGCGTGTGCGTATGTGTTTGTGCGTGCTTGCGCGTGTGTGTGTGTGCGTGCGTGTGTGTGCGTGTGTGTGTGTGTGCGTGTGCGCGCGTGTGCATTTTGTCGTTCCAACTTTTGTACCTAGAGGCAAGGTATTTTTCTTTCTTTTCATTATGATCGCTTATCAGCCTAGCGGCGCAATAACCTTTATTTCAGTTCTCTGCCATTTCATTCTATAAAACAATTCAAGTTCCTCGACCTTGTTTAGTCTTTAAATACATTTCCTGAAATGAGCAGGGTTCACCATTTCGTCATGAACCTTTTTTTACGCTTTTCACAAAATTTGTTTAAAAAAAAATGTTTTTTTTTTTTTTTTAATATAACGCCGTGACGTCTCACCGACGTGAATTGGATGTTGACGGGAGCGTCAAACTGAAGCTTCGATGCGATGACTTGCATTTCCTGCATGTGGCATTGTGTGGCAGAGTTCATCAGCTGGCTGTACGTCATCGTGCCTCTGCATGTTCGCGAACGTGGTTGTTAACATAAAGCTACATGGCGTTTATAAAGCGATAGAAACATCAACTGATGACCTTACGGTTGTGCTGCGTCACCAATTACAATGATGTGCTGTAACATTGGGAGCCTGTAAAACAAATATTTTTTTTTATATTCTCAAAACGAAAGGACGGTATAAATTTCCTATATAAAAATCGATTAAAAAATGTGCGCTGCGCATTGCAGCTGATATTCTTTTGCAGAAAGTATGCGAAGAGAAAAACCTCGTTCTTCGCATACTTCCTGCAAATGAGCCGACTTAGCTCGAGATTGAATGATATTTGAGCCAGTTCAATTTTTATTGATCCGAATGCCTGATATATTTTTTTTTGTATATTTTGTTTACATCCTACAGTTTTTCTCAGATCGCTTTCGCTAGCCTGTACTTGTACTTGCACTTGTACTTACGTTTTGTTAGTCACACTTTGAACGTTCTTATTGTTTATTGTACGCATATCGCAACGATACTTTGTTTATACAATCTGTGCATATGAAAGCGGCGATATGAGAGTCAGAAACAACATTCTGCAAGACTTATCGGCTGTATTTTTGTTTGCTTGTTTTAAATGTGGGTCACGTTTGACTGTTTGCAATTTGTCCGCTTCGGATAGTTGCAATTCTGTCATTCTTACCACGACAACGAAAATATGTTATTATTATTACGCAAAATAAAATGACTGACATAACGCATAAACAAAATCCTTGCCTCCTCGTGGCTTAAATTGGTTTCTTACCTAAAACTCTTCAGCTCCCCAGGCTTGACGTCCTTTATTTCTGGGACTATCTCAAGCAGCATCTTGTAGTAATCTTGTCGAACAAAGTTTTCGGCGTAAATAACTGCCACACAGTCCCCCTGCATGCAATTAGACTCTATAGACATTCTTCCTCCATGGGCTGTCTTCTCCTTCATTATCCAGCGAGTGTTGTTTAAAAATAGGAGTTGCGAGAGCGCAGCTTACGAGTGATAGGCAGTACTCCAGTTCCGTCACTTGGAACGCCGTGTTGATATTTACCTAAATACGGGGGAGAGAGAGGATACAACGCAAGTTTGTGTCAGCTCGGACACTGCACAAGACTGCTGTTTACAATCGAGTCCGCGTTTACCCACACTGCGCGTGCGCTGAAACAAAATAGCTGTCAAGTGAAGCGTCTGCGCCGACCGCAGACGCTTCACTTGACTAGTATGTTGCGACATAAGCAGTACAAGAGAAGCATCGCCCCCCCACCCCTCCACACACACACATTGCACACTAAAGAAAACGACACTTCTCCCTTCATTATAATGCGCCAAGGAGGCTAACGCAAAAAGCAATCTCTCTATTTTTTTCTTGGTGTCAGGCGAGCACGTTGTTGAATGGTCCTCTTTTTCTGTGACGTCAGGAAAATAGTGCGTTCCTACTGGGTGGCATAGTCATCTAGTTTCTCTGGGAATTTAGAGGTGGTGCCTCTTGTGGTTAAAGAGGTATTCGCACAGGAAAGAAAGCCCTTCCTTTGCTCCCGGAGGTGTGCATTACGTGGTAAAAACGTCACGCTATTGAGCGGAGGAGCGCTGACGTAGAGATCTCCGGGGAATGGGGTAGCTTTTCTGCTCAGATTGTACAAAGAATCCTCCTCCCCCCCCCCCCCCCCCCCCTTTTGTGAGTGCCAATTAGGAGTCGCAACATCGCAATAGACTTATTTATATTTGCGCGCCCTCTCTCCGACGTTGTGCCAACCTTCTTCCGTAGCTTCAAACATGGCGAACCATACTTGAAATGACGGGGAGAGCGCGCCACTATGAGAAAGTAATTCCGCACTACTGCTGTCTCTCGCTGCGCAATCAATGAAGAAATAAGAAGGCTACTAAAGTAAATGCTGTAAACGAGTCAATTTTCGCGAACTTCGCGAATCGCCTACAAATCACGAAAAATATGTCTCGCGAAAAATTCCGGTGAAATGTAAACTCATTGGAATCTACATTGAGATCCCATCGCGTCGCGAAAATTAGAATCCGCGATTTCTTCCAAAACTCTAGCTTTGAGCTGAATCGCAAAATATTGAGCCCGCGAAAAATAAGTTGCTTACAATATCCGGTGTGCGTTTCTTTTTTTTTTTTTTTAATTTGTTGTTTTTACAGCGAACCTTGATTTCCGTATTCTCCGGACCTTATAGTTCGCGGACTGTATATGTTTAAAAGTTAAAACTTTACACGATGCGGTCTATCTACAGGTGTGGACTATACAAGGATTTTTTTTTCTAGAGCATTCACTGCGACAAGACGTGAAAGATTTTGGGAATAACGGAGTATATTAATGTTGATCTATATAAGGTACAAACTTTTTTGTGAGCTAATACAGCAGGCATTTGTCAAGGCGTACTGTCTATGATAATTTATACGTTCGAACTCGGCACTACAAGTGCCGACTATGCACGGCGTGTGGACTGTCTAAGCAAAAATGTTTATTTTTGACCCCAAATTTGCATTTGCGGTCTTCGCACCGGGTGCGGTCTATAGTTCGGAAAATACGGTAATTATAGCATCTATCTGAGTGGCGATATGGCGGGGCCCGCGCAGCCCGCTGCTACTGAGGGCTTTGTCAAACTTCCATCATATATATGAAGCTCCCCAGTGCTCTATTAATGGCTGGTTAAGGCTGCTTCGCAGATTTGTGTCGGTTGCGTCCACAGCAACGAAAAATTGCAGACGTTCACAAATCTCTGTAACACGAAATTAGAGCGCAGCTTTTGAGGAGGATGAGGGGAGGGTACAAAGGGGAGGCTATGCCCCTTCTCCTCCTTCAGACTCTCTCCTCCTCCCCTCCTCCTCGTCCTCCCATCCTTCCCTCCTCCTCCTCTCATCCTCCCCTTCTCCCCCTTTCCTGCTCCTCCTCTTCTGCCCTCCTCCTCCTTTCCCCTCCTCCTCCTTCCGCGCGCGTTGCATCAAATACTTTACTAGGGGGAATACAGGACATTCCGCTCATTTGCATTAGACGGAGCGATGGCCGCGCCAATTCCTCCCCTGGTGGCGCGGGATAATTTGGGTGTGTCTCTCTCCCTATTTTCTGTCACCACCTCTCCCATTTTCTCTTCCCGCCGGAACACGTGACCGATATGCGTTACCGACGATGCTAAACGCGGGCAGGCGATCACGCGGGCGCCGGGCTAGGCCGGGCGCGATGACTATCAGCGGCCACCATTGCGCGACCTGTCACGGCATGTTGGTACCGGCGACCTTCTCTGCGGATGAAGCGCGAGACACATGCGCGAAAAAACCATCCGATCCGACGTCCGATCCGGCAATACGACCGCCTGATCCGAAAAATTTGGTCGCTTCAGACGTCGGATCGGCGATCCGACGTGCGTCCAACGCGCCAGATAGTTTCGCACGGCGGACGGATTGTCGGATGCGTCCAGCCAATGACAGCACAGCTAGCGCGAACGTCATGATGACGTACAGGGTCTGGCGGGACGAACAAGAAAACGGGACGGGCGCCGGGAATCCGGACGCGTGGATCCCGCTGACCCATTCAAGAAAGATGGCCCCGGCAAAGAATGCACGCGCTAACGAGAACGAGCTTCTAGCTTCGCTCGTGTGAGCTAAACCGTCAACATGGGACCAGAGATCTGTGAACGCGGACCTTCGCTGGAATGCTTGGATCTCCTGGGCGGAGCCGAACGGATCGTCGTGTCGCATGCAAGGTCGGAAGCGTGTGTCTCAAACTGTCGCGTGCGGCGATTCGGAGCGGCGTTCGGACTGTCGCATCGGACGTCGGATCGGATGGATTTTTCGCGCATGTGTCTCGCGCTTGACACGTTACAGTGTCCTGTTGTAGTGTACCAAGTATGACGCGTTCGCCGCTGTAAACAGTCAGTGAAGATGGCAGGTGGGACAGTGTGCTCCGTTCTTCAGTGCAAGAACCGAACCTTGCAGGGCAAAAACCTGTCATTCTATCGCTTCCCTCCAGATCAAATTACGCAAGTAAACAACTTCGGCGTCGCGTTTCTCATGCTGACGTACCTTGTTCAAAATCTGTGTGTAAAACATAAATATGATCCGTGTTTGTTGAATGCTGAGCTGTATATATTTGTACAAAGTGTTATTGTCTGTGTAAACAGTGATCGGTGATTGTTGAATGCAAAGCTGTACATATTTGTTCAATGTGCAATAAATATTGTTTCAACAAAAAAATTGTCGAATGACATTTTTCAGTGGAATCTGAGTTTGCACCTTCAATTATTATTGTAGAAATACTAAAATAATCCAAACCAACTTTGGTCAAGGCCAGCATGGTCCATTAGGAATAATGTTGACTATCCACAAAGTAAGAAAAAATGATTCCCAACTTTCTGAATATGTTTTCTGTTGCGTTGGGCTGCTGCAAAGCACCATCTATTCGCAATTTGAAAATAGCGAGAAATGGATCACTCGGTTATATCGTCTCATATCTAATACACAGAACCCCACTCCTGATATCAGAATTTTTGTGCCAGCCAGACATTACCGAAACCAACGCTTTGGAAAATTCCTGACATACCGAGCTCGCAAAAATAGGGTCGTTTACTCAAGGTGCCTTCTCAGGCGCTTTAGCGATAATCATAATTGCAAATAGATTGCGATGAAGTATATCACATTACATTGCTGTGTCTGCTAAACGCGCCTCTCGCGTCGACATAGTTCCTTAATGTTAGTTGCTTCGTACTGCTTTGAAGTGCGGTTACGACTAACCACATTTATTAGAGCAGCTTTCCAAACCGCCCGTACAAATTTCGATACTCGCTGATTGAGCTACATGCGTGCGGTTTATATAACAGAATACAGACATAGAGCTCATCCTACGTATACGCGCCCTTTAAATGAGTCACCAATAAAGTGTCCGCAGGTTTTTTTAAATTCAACAGACGACCTACGCCGCCGCGACCGAACAGCGTGCACACACTGAAAGACGTTCGGCCGGTAGTAAAATATCTCGCACCGAGAGACGGCGCTACTCACCATCCGATCCTAAAGGGGAAAACCGCAATGCCATGACACATCCACCCATTCAAAGTGCACAAAACCTTTCCTCCCCGAGGCCATTGTATTCGCGGGGAGTGTCCTGTATTCCCCCTCGTAAAGTATTTGGTTGCATTATGGAACCTCACAGACTTATACACTAATTAAATCCCCTGATCAATTTAGTGGGGAAACTGAATTGGCGTTGAGGTCACCTGATGTCAACTTTCCCGCTAAATCTAGCAGGTAAACTGAATTTCTGTATAGGTGGCGTGGCACTAAGTCAGGTGACGTCATTTTCCCCTCTAAATTTAGAGCTACACTTTGATTTTGCATTACACAAAATCGCAAACAGCTGTAATTGTTTTGGCTTCATTTTTTTTTTTTTTTTCTGGCGAAACCTGTGACGAATTAATTGATATGGCGAACTTTACTCTATTAAATATAAAAGGCTGGGGGGATAGCAACTCACTGAAAATTAATATTAATAAGACTAAAGCCGTCATATTTCGACCAAAAAATAAGTCTCTGGTTATATCAAAGGTTCTCCGCTTTGACTCGTCTCCCATCGAAATCGTTAGTTGTTTCAAAACACTCGGAGTGTTTTTTAGTGAGACAATGAGCTGGGATAATCATATAAACTATATTGTTCCAAAGCTTGCTCGGGTAGTTGGAATCGTAAATCGCTACCGATCTGTTTTACCAACGAACGTTAAATTGTTGCTCTATAAATCACTATTTTATTCCCATTTAACATATTGTCTTCTAGTTTGGGGCACATCCACAATGACTAATATAGAAAAACTGTTTTTGCTCCAGAAAAAAATATTGAGAGGAATATGTAATGTGCCATATGACTTTCATTCTGCCGATTTATTTAAGACTTGTAAAATAATTAACATTTTTAAATTATATCAGTACAGACTCGCTACAAGTTTTAAAAGTGAAAAGAAAAGGGGATTGTGTTTTCTGGAAAGACTTGCGTCGTTAAGGGAAACTTGCCCACATTATTCCACCCGCAACGCAGAGAAATGGAGGATG